CGTAGCACCATTGAGAGTGTCCTAACTTATGGCATTCTGGCATGGTTTGGGAGTAGCTCTGTAGCGGACAAAAAAGCTCTACAGAGAACCATTAAAATTGCCCAGAATATCATCGGGCTCCAGCTACCAACCCTGGATGACATCTTCACATCCCGCTGTCTGAGGAAGTCACACAGCATCCTGAGAGACTCTTCCCATCCTGCTTATAACTTTTTTGAACTGTTACCGTCTGGCAGAAGATATAGAACAATTAAGACTCGGACCACACATTTTCTAAATAGTTTTTATCCTAGATAGATCTATAATTGCAATTAATAATGAGCTTAAAGACCACCAGTAGTGAATAATTAGTTGGACTGTGTTACTTGGCCTGCGGTGTAGATGTTTGTATTTTTAGTGGGGGACTTTTAGTGGGTGGGGAGTGTTTGGGGAATGTTATGTGTGTGCATGTGTCTGGTCTCTGGGTGTCTGTGAATTTCGTTGTATGGGTATACTGTGTATATACTTACAATGACAATAACTAAATTAATTATTAATTATTAATTATTATTAATTATTATTAATTATTATGCTGGACATGGCTGAAATGGAAAAATGGTCATATCTTACAAAGGACAAAGCATTAACAAACTTTAAAACAACCTGGAAGGATTTATTTGACTTTTTAATAGTGGAAAAAGCAAATTATTTGCATATGTTATTCAATTTTAGAGTCTTTGATACGATATATAAATAAGGAGACTTAAAAATTCATATGCAGCAATACTGAGATGATTATTAGAAATAAGTGAAGTAATTCTAAGAATGATTAAAAAAGTATGAGAAGACTCAAAATGTCACAAAGTGAAGAAATGGTAAAACTAGTCCATCAGATTGCAAAACTCTTCCTCTTTGCCTTATGTGAAATTCAATAAAATACAGAAAAAAGAGAAAGGATAGTTTCCTGCGGTCACTGAACAATGTATTGGGCTCTTCTTCCTTCCCCTAAATATACTTTTGCACACCAGGGGAGTCCCTGAGTCTTCCGATACCTCACTTTTGGGCATAGGTAGTGTCATTTTCATTGCATATCAATAGGCAGTCATACACACCTTAAGTCCAGAGCTATGAACTAATATATCCCCAAAATCGGCATATGAAGAGAGATTAAATATGAATCAACAGTTCTTCTCAATAAAATATACTACACAGGATTCCAGCCTTAGAAAGTATGTTTCCTCGGAAGCAAGAGCCATCACGTTCAACGGAGCTTATTCCCTAGTTACTATGCTTCAAGACTGAAGCCTCTAAATTAGTATGATAGAACTTAAAATCCAATCCAATAATAGGAAGGGATTTTTAAGGAGTTCACTCTGACCTACTTCCAGTTACAGGATTATAGCCCCACAGTTCGGACGCGCCTAAAAATCACTAGAAAGCACTCAAGCTCTCCGAATTCCTGTGCAATTTCCCGTCTTCACGGCAAATACACCCCCCCCCCCCCAAAGTGCAGGCCCAACCCACACAGCGTACAGCGGCGTCTAATAATGATGGGCCACTCAAGTTGCTAGGTAACTGACCTTTGCTCTTTACGCGCAGGTGCACTGCCTTTTGGCCTCGTCCGTATGCAATCAACACGCAGAGAGCCATAGACAGACTGAAGACGCTCAGAAGCGGCGCAGGCGCAGTTGATAATACTCGTCTGGATTGAAAGCGGTTTCTTAATAAAGTTTCAACGAGAGGCAGGCGTTCTTTTCTTAACCCCGCCCCTTTTGTTTTCGGTTGGGAGGGGCGGCCAGCGAGCGTCTTAGCCACCATTCCGGGGCGACGTGCGGGGCTCTTAGAGGCGGGAATAGGGTGAGAGTTTCTGTTTTCGTTGTTGGAGCTTTATTGTTCCCCTTTCCCAGAGACGCTTGTCCGTGAGGAAGGGAAATGGTGCGCTGACTAAAGCGGGTGGACAATTCGGCGTTGCTGTCCCAAGTGAGGAAGGCCGGCCTCGGTATGTCGGGAAGCCGGCAGCCACCGCCGCAGCAGCTCCCTCCGGCCGGGCCGGGCGCTGCGGGCCTTTCCGGGTCCTCCTCCTCCTCCGCC